GAAGTACGCATGCGCGGATTTCTAGTTTGAGGGAGAGTGCAACGAACTGATTCGGACTGTTTCGGACTGGTTTCAAACTAATCAGCAACCCTGCTGGAACGCCCATCTCCCAGTCACAATCCCTGACTGCTGCTGCTGGAACGCCAAATACTAGGCTGCGCGTGCGCGGACTAGTTCGGGACTGTTTCGAACTGCTGCTGGAACAAACCTACTATTTAATAAAGAATAACCAAGTGTTAATTAAAAATAATAAAAGTAATAATTAACTACGTGACCGAAAAAAAAATTATAGAAAATTGTACAATTGAAATACAGTAATAGAGTATATCAATGAAACTATATTAACAAAACATAAATGAAAAATATTATATATTATAATATCAACAATAGTATGAACTTATCGACGAAACTGTAATGGATTCAAAGAAGCACAACTTCACACAACGCTTTCAAGAGAGTTATTTTTGCTATGCTAAAAAAAATGAACTAAGCGGAACTTTAGTTTGAACGAAGCAGAAGGTGGAGACTGGTGGAGACTTCGTGATTCAAACACATTAACTTCTATAGAATTAATAATAAAGCAATTACCACATTAATCATAAAGGTAAACGACAAAAACCCTGAAAAATACAACAACCGCAGAAATATGCATATTTTTTAAGACAATAAATGAAGGTTTGATTCGATTCCGGCATTTTGGAATCAATTCCATGAAGAATCGATCGCGAAGGAATCGAATGTCGATTTCACAAGAATCGAAAGGAAAGAATCGATTCAGTAAGTGAATCGGTACAATCGGAAGCGTGACTAACAGCGTTGGGCAGTATTTAAATACTTGCATTTGAAATACATATTTTAAATACATTTTGTATTTGAAAACTGTATTTTTGAGTTATGGGGCTTGTATTTTAGAGATGTATTTAAATACATAAAGTAGGTGTATTTAAAAAAAAAAAAGAAATACAATACTTTAAATACAGACGAAGAAGAAGAAGATAGTTTAGAACGGGGATAAGTCCTTTTTGTTTGATTCCGCTAGTGAATGCACCTCATTATACAAAAGAAAAGCTCCTTTCAACTGTTGCATTTGGATTATCTTTATTTTAAATGTTAAATGTAAATTATTTATAATACTGGACATTTATCCGACAATAAAATAAGCGTTTATTCATTCTAACACTACTTTATGTTCATCCGCGCCAGTTGGATGTTTTTCTCTGCAGGTTTTATACACTCGCCAACTAGGGGTATATTAACTAATCTGTTTGGAAAATTAGTCGTTATGAAGGAAATTCCATTTCCTTGTGTTTAGACATATTGTGATATCATTTTATATTTGAAAATGTTTATACATATTGTTACAATTCATTACAATAGTTATTGTTAAGAAATTTGTGGTGGTTTTCAACCACTACTTTTCACAAATCACCAAATATTAAGACTAGCCGAAGATATAATCGAAGGCTTCCATGAAAAGAAACACACACATTTGTCACCGTCTGGCATCCAGGACTGTTATTCAATATTAATCGCATCGGAACCCCCTACTATCTCAATCATATTATCAAAAACTTCCTTGAAGATTGCTCTTTTCAGTTCGCCTTCCTGAAGCTCTTTCATCATATTTCCCCCATAAAAGCAGGTGTACCCTTTTTCTGCACTTTTTAATCTTTATACCGCCGATATACCATTCACCTCACATCTCCATTACACTGCTTGCTGATATTACCACTATATTCCTCAAACCGTTAAAATTTATCTATCTACCTATCTATCTATTTAGCGGTTTTTTACAGCCTTGACCGTTTTCCGCATCCCAATTTCCATGCCTCTTTATCCCATACATCGTTTTCTTCCATTTCTCTTTTTTCCATGGCTTCAGTTATTGCCATGTTCCATGTTCTTCTCGGTCTTCCCGTGTATCTTCTTCGATTTGGTATCCACTCCCAAACTTTTTGAGGAAATCTATCCCAATTTCAACCTTCTCATATGTCCGTACAATTTCAGTTGTCTCATTTCGATTGTATTGTTCAAGGTTGTTTGCACTTTCATTTTATTTCTTATTTCATCATTTCTTATTTTATCTAACAGAGAAAGTTTACAACATCTTCGCCAGAACATCATTTCTGTTGATTGAAATTTGTCTTTCAATTTTTTTGATAGTGTCCAGACTTCTGTCCCATAGAGTGTGGTCGTAACCGTGATATTACCACCGCAAAAGAAAACATGCAACATCACCTCCCCTATTCTCCGACTGGGCCCAGAAGTGGCACAAGCGGATAAACCCAACAAAAAGTCAGGCCAAAATCTTCACACTATGCAGACTAAAAAATATTCCCCCTCTCAAATATCAAGGAGAAAATATATCTTGCCTCCCAAACAACAAGCCTGTGAAATATCTTAAGTGTACTTTTTGACATGAGGCTTACTTTGGCACTCAAATATTCTTCACAGAACAACTCCGGCCGCTTTTAGAACCCACCAACTACGTTTCATACTCAAAAAGTCTTCACCCCTGCGACTTCATGTTGCTTCTCATCTATACCAATCAATGATTCGTCCAATCTTATCCTTCGCTTCTCCTATCTGGGTCTCAACCAGCAAATCAAATATCCCAAAAATTCAGATTTTCCATCACTCCGATCTCCATCCATTTCTCCTTCCTACCCGCTCGCTTCTATCCTAAAATTCCCCAGATTCGCTCAGCCGTAAATTTCAAAATCGGAAAACCAAATCTTCAGCGGAATCAAAAGCGGAAACTATCGCGACAGTTCTTCGACCCCCCCCCCCCCGATCATCATGTACCAGATGAGGCTTCTCACATTCAATCCACATGTACTCAATGTATTCATCTCTGAATAATGTTTGCTAAACAATGCAAATATAATTCTATGTTCCTCAAGTATCGACTGCTGAGGGCCTTCGAGTCAAACAGAACTAAATGAAAAAAAAAAAAAAAAATCGTATGACTATCAATAACTAATTTATTAACTAATTATTACTATTTAATTGACAATTACAATATATTGTTGCAATAAAAATTATACAATACAACATTTTTATATACGCTATATACAGTATTTTGACACGCGCGGTTCCACGAGAAGGAAACCCCCCTAAAATTTTTCAGTAACTATTAATTTTAACTTATCGCGAAACTTGCAAATAAAAAAATATTTTAGGATAATAATTAAAAAATCTTATCTCAGCATGAGATATGTGTAGCCTGAGACATTTTACAAAATCTCTAATATGACACATTCAACCAAAACATTTAGAACTTCCTGAGGACCTCTCCCAAACTTGTCGCTGGATCCGCCCCTGATTTTGAGTATTTGAAGCATTTTGAATACGTGTATATGTAGCACATCAAGTCTGTAATTTGTATGTGTATTTAAGTACTTGTTTACAAAAAATTTGGGCGAAATATTTAAATACTAAATTTAAAGTATTTTGCCCAACCCTGATGGACAAAAAGTCCCTGTAATTTTTCAGAGTAATGTATACTTTTAAATGAAATAATATATTTTTACCAAAGACGATTGCATAACAAAATGAACATATGCAGATGCTATTACTTCGCTAATGACCAAGTAATTGAAAATAACTTAAAATAAATTAAAAAACAAAACAAAATCACATGCTATTACGGGCTTACCTTATGTTAATCCAAACAAATAATTCATAATATACAAGGATCTTGAGCATTGGTCATACATGATTAATTTAATTTACGATCTGCAGTAGGAATATCTGCAGCAAATTCGAAGGGATATAAATAATTAAACAGTTGTCACCACATCGCTACGTGCGCTAGACGCATGAGTTCGACGCATGCGCAAAATTGAACGGAAGGACGCAACGGATTGACCCGCCTTAAATAATCAAAGCAAATAGTACTAGTTATGGTCAACAGATGGTACTCAATATTTCCCAGCATCCCTGATTTGAAAGCGGTACTTTTAAGTATTTATTTTCCTTCACATTTTTATTCATTTACTCATTTTGGTTTATTGGTACTGGCATTCCCCTACACTCACAGCCACCCCTGATGATCATGATTGAGTATTGAGCACTCACTGTTTTGGTCAGGGACCATCAGATACAACTTGGGGTAACTGATTCGTTTTTAGGACCCAGAGAGTGGAATATTTGGCGAATGCAACGCGTTAGAATCTTACGTATGCCAAAACATGAAAGTTGTGAAAAGTAATTGCAGATATTACAATTTCAAAATTTTAAATAAAGTATCCAATATACATTACTACCTTATAGTACCTACTAAATATAGTACTTGGGTACACCGCGGGCAAACTAGCTTGAGCTGAAGAAGCTTAATCTGAATTAAAATCTCTGATTAAAATTAAGGAAGGACAATGCTGAGTGGTGTCAATAGGTACCATTTCCATCGAATAGACTAGAGCCCTCAGCAGATACAGATAATTGATTCAAATCTCTGATGGAGGCGTATTTCCAAGGGAGACAATACGAATTCTCGTTCAACTTATCGTAGTTGATGACGCATGAGGAGAAAATTTAATGTGTACCAGTTGATATATAATACATGCAGGTCATTGAAACGTCAAAATATTATGTTTACAGCTCTGAATATATGTATACATCATATAGAATCAACACTTCAATCCAATATTCTATTATTAGAATTTCGTTGTGAAGAATCAAGTTTGAAAGGAGCAATAGTTAACAATAATTTTTATTTATAATTGAAAATTTCGATTACATTACAACTCTCAAAACCGGTGAAACGAAAGGATGAAAAGTGATTTCTAGGTCATAATTGCATTGTCATTAATATCAACGTGGAAAGTTAACGTGCAGACTCTAAACACATAAACTAACATTAATTCCTTTAAATATTGTAAAAAAATCAAATCGTTGTAGCAACTAACTACATTTGCCTCTTTGAAATGAAAACAAAAAACAAAATCTTTTAGAATATGTTTATTTATCATTTGGGACTCCAGGGGTATTCCTGAACAGATTTGTCTCTGCCCATACTGGATTGTGCCGGATCATCTTAGATCTCAGGGTGTACAGCACACATGGTTGTTGATGGTTGTTTGGAATGTAGTCAAGTTGTCTTTCCATTCAACTTTCGAACAAGTTATTTACAATTAGTAATCTAATTACCGACTAGTATTTATATAAATACATTTCATAACAATAATTTCCCAAACTCTGACTTGCACTGCAATGTGAAGTCTGTGCTTTCACCACGACAGCAAGACACGAACGGCCATCCGCCATAAGTGTGCGCCATTTTGCAAGGGATTTGGCACTCGTCCTCGTAAATCTAACTGGGAACGTCGAGCAAAAATCGATTTATTAGGCTTTACTTACTAATAGTCCATTATGTCTTCCTCATACAATAACTCAGAAGAAAGTTCTTCTGATAGGAATGTGGAAATTTGGAAAATCAAGAAGTTGATCAAGAGCTTAGAAATGGCAAGAGGGTAAGTGAGCATGCTGCCTGCCATACGTGGTGTTCTATAGAATTCTATGATTAATTAAGAGCCTCATACAATGTTTTATTTTGAAACAAAATAAACCAAGAGTTATTTAACGCTATTAGCACGTCTTACACGTGCCATATGCTGTGGTAGGTTAAGTTCAGTTTGTCATCTCATTTCCTTGTTTCATGACATATTCACTAATTATTCATGTTCATTTGATTTCTTTCAAGGAATGGCACAAGTATGATCTCTCTTATCATTCCACCGAAGGATCAGATCTCAAGAGTCAGTAAAATGTTAGCTGACGAGTTTGGTACAGCTTCAAACATTAAATCTCGAGTTAATAGACTATCAGTTTTAGGTGCCATTACATCTGTGCAGCATAGATTAAAATTATATACAAAAGGTATGTTAATATTCAGTGAATCTGAATTGGGAATTTTGAGATTTATTGAAGTTAACCTGTATTTTGTTGGATTTTCCAGGTCCGTATTTTCTCTGTAGAAAAACTTAACCCTCTTAATATGCATCTTTTTTGTATTGGGAGAGTATTTTTGATACCTGAACCTATATTTTTTAAATATTATGCATTTACAATATGGTCAATTCCATCTCATTAAAATGTGATCTTCATTTTCTTACAATTAATTTTTCCATATTACTTTATAATTGTACTACCAAACAAGCATAAAGCTGACACTTTGTAAAAATTAACTTAGCAATATGTTTGATTTATTCTGTTCTAGTTCCTCCGAATGGGCTTGTGATCTACTGTGGAACAATTGTGACTGATGAAGGAAAGGAGAAGAAAGTTAATATAGATTTTGAACCTTTTAAACCAATTAATACATCATTGTACCTTTGTGACAACAAGGTAAATGGTAGATACAAGTTTTACAGATCTTCAGCAACTCTAAGCACACACCATTACTTGAGGATTCTACCATTCTGATCTAGAATTAGTGTGAATTTAGAGTATCTTCTGTTTTTTATACGTAAATAAACTTTTTAGTTTTTGTTTGAGTTTCTCTAAAGGATGTTCATTGAAGTAAACTTTCATGAGTAATGATTTTTTTTTCATATGACAATAATTTTATGGATTAAAATGTTCATAGTTACATGGTAATGTGTTGTTAATGTTTATGAATATTACAGTGGTGAATTACATTTAATACACAGTACTTCAGGGAACATTTTACTCTTAGCATTCATTGAAGTAGCAGTTGAAGTTGTTGCCAATAGAAACTGATGAACATCATGTGCTTTATACATAGTTGTATCAATTCCCCAGAACTGGGCAAGCTATTTGTGTTGTCCAGATTAGCACAGTTCATCTGATTTGTAATATATCTACAATGGGTTTAGTGAACAACTTTCATTTGTCCCTTGCAGGGAATGAAATGACTTCTGTTTTTGTTCGGTACTAAGCTCAGAGAATTTCAGTACATGAAGTATACAATTTGTTCAGAAGTTTCTCATTTTTTTAATTGTTCTTAAAATTATTTCCGTGTAGACTTTTTGGTAAATGGAATATGTTGATTTAGAAAACAACAATTTTTTGACTGAAAATAATGGCAAGGACCAAATGTGATACACTGGTAGCACCAGGGTGACGAGTTAGCAAACCAGGCTTAGGACGCAGACGCAGTTTCTCCCCAACAACCAAGAATGTACTAATTTATTTTCAACAGTTGTTATAAATAAACCCTGAACCAAAAATAGAAATATGTGTGTGTGTGTGTGTGTATGTGTATATATATAATCTCATATACATCATATTTGTTTTAATGAGATTTGTGGCAAGGTGGTGAAGTGTAAACATTTCAATGTAAATTGTATTAGCAGAAGTTGAAGCTGATCCATGGTCCATATTAAAAATTCCTCACATACCTCTCTTGAATGGGAATCTATCAGTACAAAGTTCTTTCATGTTTGTATGATTGATTTCTGAAGTTAGGTAGATTTATTAATTTCAACCTTTTATCCTTCAATTGTGACTCAGGAAAATGGGTTAGTGCCAAGGTCAATAAATTTATATGGCTAAGAGTTCATTTGTGAAGTTTCCAACCAATCACAGTCATGGAGTGGAGAATGAAGAGATAGGGAGGAATTAGCTGAAATAAATTGTCTCCATTCCAATAAAACCCACAACTTGTAAAATTGGTAAAAGCAAAGATAAATTTGTTTGCAAAATTTCGTTAATGATGACTGCCTCTCGTTGATTCTTGTGATTGAATGCCCGCTTTGACCTCATTGAAAAATCCTGGAGTAAGATAAAGGTGAAATAACATGTCAGGTTCACACACACACACACACACACACACATATATATATATTATAATAATATATACACACACACACACACACACATATATGAATTTTGTTATAATTATTTCTAAGCAGACTGGACTGTTTAATATTTCTTTTTTGAAGTTTTCTGGTTTTTCATTTTGTATGCCAATTTTTTCAGTTTCACACTGAGGCCTTGACTGCACTTCTAGCAGATGATAATAAATTTGGCTTCATTGTCATGGATGGAAATGGTGCATTATTTGGCACTCTTCAAGGCAACACCAGAGAAGTTTTACATAAATTTACTGTAGATTTACCGAAGAAACACGGTATGTTCAATTTTATATACTTCAAACAAATTGTGTTGTGTGTTAATCACTGGAATGTGTGTTGAATTTAAATGTGACAAAATGTAATCAACAACATGATTTTAATGTACAGGCAGAGGTGGTCAGTCTGCACTCCGTTTTGCAAGATTGCGTATGGAAAAGAGACACAATTATGTGAGAAAAGTTGCAGAAGTAGCTACAACACTTTTTATTACCAATGATAAACCTAACATTGCTGGTATAATTTTGGCTGGTAGTGCAGATTTCAAGACTGAACTTAGTCAGTCAGATATGTTTGACCCTGTAAGTTTGAATTATATTTACAATGAAATACTACAATGTTACAGTTTTTAATTTTAATTTTAACGTAAGTTCATTGAATGTGAGAATATTGGTAAATTCTTCTCTTTTATATTACAAATGTTTCTGCTGGTTTTCATATTACATTTTGTAAGTTTCATTTTAAGCTAGAGGAAAACTCTTCCCTAAAAATCACAGTAATTTTTGAGCAATTACCAATTTTACCCGAATTTAAGACAATTATGTTTCCTAAATAACAACAAATATTTTTTCCTAAATATCTGTCGAAAATTGCAGGAACATCTTATGTTTGTCGACTAAGCCTAGTTGGTTATGGTTTATTGCATTGCCTTTCCATGTTTTTGCATTGCCTTTCCATGTCACTGAATTTGTAAATGTTGACATAACTATTAGCTGTTAAACACATATATACAATATGTAAGTAAATTCAGTCGTATTCATGGCATCCACCATGAATTTGCTGGTCATTTCTGACTGATATTTTTGAATGGGCCAGTAAAGAGAATCTCTAATGAATGACATTATTATGCAAAACGAAAGGGAAAATAAATGACGAGATTTTGTTAAATAGTTCAGTCTTTTGCGTTTTGCAAGGGACTGAAATGAAGAAAATCACTTTGATAGACTTATGCATTCTACGTCTAACCCCGGAAAAGGATGATCAAAAATATATATTCATAGCTTAAATTTCCCAAATAGGAAACTTGCCGCTGTCTCCCGCTTTACTCACGAAACAGAGGAACAGAAATGCATGTATGATGAATGAAAGACCAAGAACATTGCAAATTCAGTAAGCAAAACTGTCAAAGGGCCAAAAAGTCTGAAGATGTTGCAGCATGGAAGGAGGACCAGACCATGGAAATATTGATACATGTGAAGATAATGAGGGTAATGTCAAAAACAATGATTATGATGGATTTACAGAACAACAAAATACATGATTAAAGAATGGAAGAAGGGAATAATGATCCGACCTAGCAATATTATACGCTGAATGCTGACGATCAGGTGTTACACTACAGTAGCTACAACTGAAGATGAACTCCAAAAAGTAGCACACTGACTAAACTGAATAGCAAAAGAATATAAAACGAAAATTTCAATAGGAAAAAACCATCGCATTTTGAATAGCAGGAAAATATTACTGCAGAGTAAAAATTGTAAAAGGTTATCAGGTAAATGAACAAGTAGCAACTTTCACATATCAACGAGATATCACTAAGAGGAGAAGATACAGAAACAAAACAGAAAATTTAACAATATCAATGGCTGGATAAACGGACACTTCGGAAATATGAAAAATGAAACAAAAATAAGATTCCACAACATAGTGGTAAAACTAGCCCAACAATATAGCAGTGAAACATGGACTCTCAGAGAGACAGACTAGAGGCTGCCTAGATGAGGTATCTGAGAGCAGTACTTCAAGTAACTAGAAAAGACAAAACAAGGAACAAAGAAATATGGAAAACACTGAAAGCAAAGAATGTGGTCACTGAAATAGAGAAATGTCTGGCAAAATGGTAAGAATGTATAAGAAGAATGCACCCAAGTTGACTTTTTATAAATTGTAATGAACTACAGACCAAAGGGAAATAGAGACCCTGGTAGACCAAGGAAACAGTGGGAGGACCAGGAATTTGAATTTTCTTTACTTCACTCAAAATATTAATGAAATTGCTACATAAGTAAGGTGGAAGGAATAAAGGTCGCTAAAGAATTTAGATAATAATCATGGAATAAGTCAATAAGTGCAGATAATTTTGAAAATCAACTACCATAAAAGTAATTGATTACAATCTTGTATCATGAGAACTAGATAACAAATACTAGTGATTAGGCCAAGAAATGATTTTGTAAATAGTAACGTTGTTTGATTATAAGTTCTCCAATTGTGCAAAAAAAAAAAAAAAAAAAAAAAAAAAAAAAAAAAAAAAAAAAAAAAAAAAAAAAAAAAAAAACACACCCACACCCACACACTTGTATATGGAAGAAATAATAACAATTATCCTAGTGTATTTAAGGGGCTAGATGGAAAGCCCTCTCTTAGTTAGGATAGATATTATTGGCTGAGTATTGTCTGTTTAGTCATCTGAGGCGATTTTTTGACTCATAGATTTCAAACCAATTTTGGGGTGTGGCCAGTGAGTTACACCTAGAATGATTTGCATTCATATTACAAACATTGGCTAATTTGTGTTTAAGCTGTTTTACGTCCTTTTTTTTTATCATTCCAGCAACTGGAGAATATATGATTAGTGTATTTGTATAGCTAGAAGGCACGAAAAGTACAAAAAATGCTTATCTAACATATTACAATATGTATGTCATTTGATTTGTCTTTTTATGCTCGTCATAGTATATGTATAGTTCAGGTGTAAAAATGGTTACCTCAAATATCTCATAAAATACAAGTTAAAAAAAAAAAAAAAAAAAAATATAGGTTTCAGTTAGCCCGATTCCCTCATGCACTTCTGTGAAAACTGCATCGCAATAACTTTAACCATTCAAAAATTACAGGAGGTGCTAGAGTTACATGACTCGCCGGTCTATGACTTGTCTACTTACATTCATTTAATGACTTGATTCATATGTATACAGATTCTCATTTGATGTGTGTTGTCTTTCACTATTCTTTTTAATGACCATATTGGAACAATGTAAATCACTCATGTTATCTGTACTTTACCCCTAAAGAACTGAATTGACACTTTGAGGCATTAACAGCGGGTGCTCCAGCCCAAATAGTGGAAGAATAAATTTTGTTGAGTGATGCAGTTTTCAGAGAGGCTTAACTATTTTAAAACCTGTCAAAAAAATTATCTTCCGGCTTGAATGGACCATTTCTTTGAATCTTTAGGATGATGAAAATTAATTAATATGAAAATATAATTAGATGTTATTTATGCACCTGTCTTAGTATAATTTTTTTTGTTTGATTTCAGAGACTGCAAGCAAAGATTATTAAACTTGTGGATGTGTCTTATGGTGGTGAAAACGGTTTTAATCAAGCTATTGAATTAGCTGCAGAATCATTGCAGAACGTTAAGTTTATTCAAGAAAAGAAATTGATTGGTATGAATTTCATTCTCAGTTTAATTTTACTTGTAAAAAAAAAAAAGTTTTGAAAAATGTTAATGTTTGTTTTCTACAGGTCGTTATTTTGATGAAATCAGTCAGGATACTGGAAAATATTGTTTTGGTGTGGAGGACACATTGCGAGCATTGGAGCTAGGGTCAGTGGAAACGCTGATTTGTTGGGAAAATTTAGACATTCAACGCTATGTTCTCAAAAATCACGCTACAGCTGAAGACAAGATTTTGCATTTAACGCCTGAGCAAGAAAAGGACAAAACACACTTTACTGACAAGGAGGTTTGGAATTTTTGTATTACAATGTCTCTGAGTGTTTTTAAATTGCTCTCTTCTAACATTTTGGTTTTTGCTTTCACTCGTACTTAGTAGGCAATAGTCTGAACTATTTTCTCCAAATCTTCCCTCTGAATTACTGTACTTGGTGAAGAGAGGGTTCAAAGGAAAAAGGTATAATGAACTTTTTCTGGGACTTTCGTTATGCTGAATGTCAAAGCTGACGATTGTTTATTTCCTATTTAAAAAAATCTACATGAGAACAAATTCATGTGCGTTCAGAGGTTTCCCAGTACATGATTTTATGTAGTAGAGTTCTTGAAGTGGAACTAAATTATTCTCTATTTGGAAACTCATTTTTCTGTTTTTGTATAAAAAATAATCAGGTGAAGGGAAGAGGAATGGATTTAAAAAAAGGAGTCCCTTGTATTTGTCTCATGTGATGTCAGACAATAAGGCTACAAGCCACTGATGGATATTCCTTGCCATTGATCCAAGGAATGTGCAGTCTCAAGTTTAGCTGTGTGAGTTGTGATACATTAGCAGGAATATGTATGTTTTTCAACGCATTGTATTGTGAATTGGCATAGAAGGGAAAGTCAAGAAAGACTGCGTGAGCTTGTTTACTTAGCATCTCATGACCATTGTAGCAAAGTATGTACAAGGAAATGGAGAACTGATGCTGGAAAATACTCATTCTTCAGTAGGACTTTTGAAACATTGCGTAGCTTGCCTGCAAAACTATTGGAGACTTTCCCAGCAAGCATCAAGGATTTTAGATACAGATTAGATTCTAGCAACAGAGGCGCAAGTAGGACAAGTGAAGGGCCTCCGTGCTTCTTAGGCTTTCCCAAAATTGAATAAAAATTGTTGCAATCAAATGAGTTGGAATCGAATTTGTGGTTGATATAGCATAGTTGCACTTCAAATCGACAAATTTCACCATAAGTCTGTGATGCTGAAATTTTCAATTTGATTTAAACTTTGTTAATATAAACATTTATTTATGTACAATCAAGTGGAAACATTGTTTTAAATGGATCAGTAGTTTTTGAGAAATATGCAGTTAAGAAAAAAATATAAAATAGTTTAGAGGTCAGCTAGAAAGAGGACAGAAAGGTTGCATGGCAAATAAATTCATGAAAAGGGTTATTATAGTGCCTTGTTTTGTCACGTGAGAGAAAAGATTTAAACATGGGCAGGAAAACAAAAGAATGTTATTTTTAAGTTATTTAAAAAAATTGTGTATACTGTCAGCAAAATTTATTATTATTATTATTATTATTATTATTATTATTATTATTATTATTATTATTTCTGGGCATGTATACAAAGTTTTAATTGTTGACTGGCAAAAATTCAAACCTTACTGATTCAGAGATTAAACATTAAAAAAAGCATTAAGGAATGTAGGTTATATAGAAATTCTTGCAATTCTAAAATGTCTGTCATCTATTATATATGAATCCTATCCTCTTGTACCAAGAATTCGTAGAGAGTTAAATCATTCCACCAGTTCTATTTCTGTGAGACCAATATTGTCTTTATCCCTATAAACATATTTCACTTCGGTATTATGTTCATTTGTGAATTTGTAGAGAGCTTAATTTTTGTAGGCTGGCTTTTTTCACTAATATTTTGGTCCTTTCACCAGGAGCATCACAAGAACTTTTTCCAAGACTTGTGGAAAAAAATGCCATTGGTCATTAACTTCAAAATAATTTTCATGATTAACTAAATTGGCAAATTTTTTCTTGTTTTTGCATTGTGATGCAGCTCCATCCCTGAAGTAATAAATTGTATGTATACTTTGATCTAATGTTTTGAGATACTGAATTACAATTTTTTCAAAACAGTAGAAAGTGCTGCTTACATGACATAAACAGTTGCTTTCTATACATAAAGAAACTGGCTTAGGAAACAGTTGGTGTTTCTGCCTGGTGCCTTTAAACAAAGAGGTGAAGAGTCACTCGGTCATAGATCCAGAGATAGATATAAACCTCATCTTTGACTGTGATTGCATAATTTTAGGAGAAGTCAACTAGAACAAAACAGTATTTCTTCACTTTCCTTGCACCTCTTAAAATACTGTCTTATTGTGAGCAATGAAGCTATCAGAACTAGGGATCCAAGTCATAAGGGAGGACTTCACGAACTCAGAAACTCATTTTCTTTTTCTTCTTTTCCTCCCCCCCCCCTCCACCATCTTCCTCCCCTCCCACAATCCTTGTCCCCTCCCCTCCCCCATCCTCGTCCTTAAATCATTGCATTGAAGCCTTCTGGCTTCTTCAATCTAGTGGTGCTGTCAAAGCACATTTTCTTGTTTCTAAATGCTCTGCAACTTTATGTGAATATTATATTGAACAATTGATTTAATGTAACATAGGTTTTACAAATAGAGCAAGAGAGTTGTAAACTGGTTTCAAATTTCAAAATGCTAAAATGACTTAACAGACACTTCCAGCTTATATACGTAAGCTTTCGCGGCTTGAATCCATAAATTCTCGGCTATCCGGGAGACGTTGGCTGGGGTGGCAACGATGGGGAGGGCACCCCAGCCAACGACGCGGCGTCTCCCGGATAGCTGAGAATTTACTTCCAGTTTATTTATAATCTTAATAGATTGAATATGTAAGTAGAATTGCTTCAAATGATTTTCAATCAAATTCCTGAAATTCTCAATAGTTTACTGTGGCAACGGATAGTTGTGACAAATAATTCTCCTTGAGCCAGGCCTGAACCAGTGGCCTTTCCCTCTCAAATAATTACCCCCGAGCCAGGCTCGAACCAGTGGCCCTTCCCTCTGCAATGCCGAGTCTAAACCCGACATTTAACCTCTTCGGCCACCTGGATTATATTCTGTAATAGCCATAAACGCCGAAGGACAACAATTGATTTGACAGTTCATACGTTTAACAAATCCCATAAGAGCTGTTAAACATTGTTTAAAAGTGAAAAATTCGAAAAGTACATACCGACACTTCCAATTTATTTATCTTGATTAATAGTATTTGTGATTAGAATTGCTTCAAATGGTTTTCAAAAGACTTGAACCAGCCATCCTGCCTTCAGAAGAGCTCACGCCTTACCCTGAATTACCACGGCTATCCAGTTATGATGTGCAGTGAATACTTCCATAATAGTAATAAGTGTATGGTGTTTCAGTTCTAGCATTATGGAGCCGAGAAATGAAAAAAAAAATTTGTGTTTTTCGGTGACGAAAGAAAACAGACGAGAAGACAATGACGCATATCGGAAAAGTTGGCCAAGAGTAGAAAGAATAGAAAACTAAGGCAATAAAGTCCGTGCCATTCTATAGAACTGCTAGTTTTTTTATTCATTTATTTTAATAGCTAATTTGTATAACAAACGATGAAGCAAAAATCTGTCTTCAAATTTGTAGTTTTGAATATACTTTGCAATTAAAAAAAAAAAAAAAAAAAAATGTAAAAGAATTTTTTGTTGTAAATTTTAAGCCCACATTTCCACATTTCACAAAAACTACTGGTAAAAAAAAATTGTACATGACTTTTTCTAAAGAGGTAATTTTGTACAACAGTCTTTGTCTGAGCCAAAAATCTTTATCTTCAATTTCGTAGTTTTAATACTTATTTTTGCAATTATTGAAAAATTGGAGAAATTACTGAGTATGAGACCTTGGCTATCCAGTTATGACGTGCAATGAATACTTCCATAATGCATATAAGTGCATGGTGTTTTCAGTGCTAGCATTACATAGCCTAGTAATTATAATAATATGAATTCTTTCACCATTCTCTTAAATGTCTTTTGCAATATTCAACAACAAAATGTAATCAAAAAATTTTGAGCCATTTATTTGAAAATTTTGAAAGTGTCCAAGGGGCTTCATGTAAAGGCTTCAAGGGCTTCCCCCCTCAAATTAAAATATCGGTTTCAAATTCCAGAAGCCCGCGACATCTGCCAGATTGATTGGGGAATATCGAGTTTGGAGAAAATTGGCTGAACGATTTAGCCGCTAGCCTTGTCCACAGATGGATGTTTTGCCGTCCATTGATTTTTCATTATCAAGAACCAACAAAACATTCTGGATACACCATGAGTTACAGGATTTCCCCCCTAAATTTATCAACAAAATTTGACTACTTTTTCATTATCAGAACTTAGCAATAAGGTGTTTTCTGGCATATGAGAACTTTCTCTTCTTCTGAAGAATTTGTAAGGGTGAATTAAAAAAGCATTATTTGACCACAAAGGAGGACATTCGTAAAGAACACTGTCAGATGTTCAAATTACACCATGCTTTTTGACTGAAATGAAGTCTTGGATATTTTTCTCATGTAATGGACCAGTAAGATCTTTCGTCACTAGAATGTAACATTTACTGTGGGTTACATTTTCGTACATTTTACCATGCATATTCATTGGTTAAATTTGGTACGTTTGAACCTTGATTTCTTGATCCACATCATCAAATAGTGATAAGAGAGATACTTCATCTGTGAAATACCATAAATGCTGGATTAAATTGTGTAAAGCTATCTTCAAGTTGTTTTATCCACCTTTTTGTCAGCCTTCATTGACTTCAAAAAGTACAAATCTTGGAAAGGTACTTTTACTGCCAAAATACATTGGATGGTATGATGTCACTATGTGACATGCAGAGCCTCACAGGCTGCCTTATCCTTGCTTGTAATTTTCTATTGGGAACTAAACAATTACATTTTTAGAGAATAAATCGCTCTCACTATCCATCATGCAAGATGCAAAGCACCTGTAGGTCAAATTTTAAATTTTCTGTGTGTCTCAGCCTTTTAATGTCCTATCAACTCTTAACAGAAAGGTCAAGTCCTATCAACTCTTCATAATCATCTGCCTATTTCTTTTGACATTTCAGTTCAGTTTGGTAAAACAAGCAAATTGTCAATTTTGGAAAACGGCATAGTGTTAGGTTTGCTTTATTAGCCTCTCTTTTATGAGGTTTGACCCTTTTGCAGTTACTTCAGAAGTCTTTAAAGAGAGAAACT